GTAGATATGAAAATGGTTTACTTGCTCAAGTAAACAACAGTTTATGTCGTGTGTAATGATGAATGCTACTACTACTACTAAATTGATAGATTGCTAGACACCAAGATGATACTAGTTTTTGATATTCTATTTCTTACTTAATATTTACTTATTACTCCACTTATATCCGCATTCAATATAATTGAACAAATTACTCATCATTATTCGTTTAATTAGATTTTCTCGTTTTTTTTTTCACTCTATTTTTTTTAATGTTTGTTTGTTCGTTTGTATTTTTCTTCCTGATTTAAGGATAATAATGGATTAAATGTGAATTTGGCTGTAACTCATTCAGGTATTTGTGTTTATCAAGCCGGTATACGAACAAATCTATTTTCATGGGCAAGAATAAGGAAATTAAGTTTTAAACGTAAACATTTTTTTATTAAAATACATCCGGAAGGTTATGTAAGTGATGATGTTTTTGATAATGTTCACTTGAGATTTGTTTATTTGCTTTTTTTGTTCCATTTAACTAATATTGTTTACAATTTGATGAGTTTATGCGTTGGTTGATCACTTGTCCATTGAGCGAATAACTGCATAGAACAGAATGTGTTTTTTAGAAGTTATGGGATTTCGTAAAACCTTACCATTAAAAACAATTTTTTTCCATATTGTCTTAAGAAAATATGAGGTCTTTTAACTAATTTGGTAGACTGGAAGCATGGTCACCTTTCAGCGTCATACTAAATTCTGATCTTGAAATTTATAAGCTGATATTTCTCAACATCATCATCATCATCAAATGTCTCTCTATTAAATCAAAACCAGTAACCACTGAATCAAGATTTCTCATCTGTGTATAACTAATTACTACTTACTTACTTACTTACGCCTGTTAACCCCAATGGAGCATAGGCCGCCGACCAGACTTCTCCAACCAACTCTGTCCTGGGCTTCCCTCTCTAGTTCTGTCCAATGTTTGTTCATTCCTCTCATATCTTTCTCTATTTCTCGGCGTAGTGTGTTCCTTGGCCTTCCTCTTTTCCTTCTGTCTTGAGGGTTCCATGTGAGGGCTTGTCTCGTGATGCAGTTAGGTGCTTTTCGTAGTGTGTGTCCTATCCACTTCCACCGCTTCTTTATGATTTCCTCCTCCACTGGAATCTGGTTTGTTCTCTCCCACAGTAAGTTGTTGCTGATGGTGTCTGGCCAACGAATACGAAGTATTTTGCAATGACAACTGTTCATAAACACTTGTATCTTCTGGATGATGGCTTTCTTGGTTCTCCAAGTTTCCGCTCCATACAGTAGAACTGTCTTGACATTTGTATTGAAGATCCTGATTTTGGTTTTGATTGAAAGTTGTTTGGAGTTGCAGATATTTTTCAACTGTAGAAATGCAGCCCATGTATAACTAATAGATTTATAAAATAATACCACTGTTAGCTTTCGACCGTTGTGATTTCTTCACATTTAAATGAATCATCAGATGATCAATAATGTTAATTGGAATTCAGGCTTCAACAGATTTTGAACAAACTATTCAGAAATCATTAGTTTGTAAGAAAAAAATACTTCTTAGTGTCTTTTTACTCTGAACAGTAACCAATACTCTTAACAAAATTCTAGTTAACTGAATGAATCAAATAGATTTCATTCGCTAAAAGTTAATTTATCCCGTTCAATCAGACATTACTTGTTTAATCGCATAAAAATCCCGCGATACGTCTATAGGATATAAATTGTCATTAATTCGGTTATAGAGAAACCCAAGTCTATAATTTAATTCAATTCATTACTTAATGTAACCGATCAGCTGTCTCACCTAAAAAGCTTACATTAAACATTTACTTATGAAAAGTTGTTTTCTTAAGGTTATTTCAGTTTTTAAAAACTTTTCCGTAACTTAACGCTACTTGATTTAGAAGAGGAAGGAGTATTTCCTAATCCAACAACCAAGTGATCAATTAGCAATGAAAGAAAGTCCTAATGTTTTTGATATTCAAAAAAAGTAGTGTTAACTTACTTGGAATTTTCACTAAAAACATCAGTTAGAATGTTAAAATCAGAAGATCTACATTGGTTCATTGATATTGCTATTACTGTAAATAGAGCATATCTGAGAACCAACTGCGTGAAAACATCAGTAGTTCATTTCGATATTTCCGCAAAATAAGTTTATTCTGATTAAGGATATACTGATTTTATTTCTACAATTTCCCAGGGTCTGGTACACTGTTGTTCACATTCAGTGTTATGGTATTTGTGCCTATTTTCATCAATGAACAGATGATAGTATTTTAAGATATATATAAAGTGAACCTACTTTTTATGCTAAAATACGTATTGTTTCTCTCGAATGTCATGTCTGAACGTCTACTAGTAATATAAGTTTACCAGTGACCATTGAAATCCTTGTTAGTTTTTTAATTATAAAGAAATCACTGAAAGTGATTGTATTAAAATCAGTGCTTGACGATATTAAAATTACAGATTAGGTAAATTTCTATTTTGGTACAAAGTCCTAATCAAGGAAAAAAAATGTATTGATTCAGATGATATGATAACTTGAGTACATACTAAATGTGCTGATTCACTACTTATTATCAATGTGTCATATTGATTTAAGTAATATAAAGTCGAAAAAAATGCTGAGTTGTAAGGTGATGGATTGAAGGTAGTCGACGAGAAACCTTAGAATTAAGTTACATGCAATTTAGCTTTCGTCTACAATGTTTATCTTTAATCTCTCCAGCGGATTCAGTCCTGTGCTACTCAGCTTCATAGTTACAGATGTGAACACTGAATTATCTAGGTTTTGAGTTGGATAGAGATTTCACATGTATAAGTTAATCCACAAACTACTAAAATGAATAGTAGTTTTAAATAGGTAATATATGAATACTTGGTATTTATGAATCGCTATTTTGTTTATCTTCGTGTAAATTTCGGAAACCTTGCTGTTCCACATCTGTTTGCCTTCTTATTATGTTTAATTTAATACGTTTCTCACTACTTAGACTTCTTCGTTCTATGTTGATGCGACTTGATAAGTCGATAAGTACAGCTATCTGTCAACTACTAAATTCAAGCTTGTGTTGAAAAGTACTACTTCTGTTCATTAGAATATTATTTTAAGTTGTATGAATTTTACTCTGTCAGAATTTTGTTTGGTGCACTATAATTTGGAATTTATATAGATAACTAGGAAATATCTCGTCTATTTGTGCTTTTATATTAAACCAATCTCAGTTTTACTTACATCATTATTTTTTCGTTACTCAGATAAATTTTTTTCAGACAAACATAACGTAAATCTCAGATTACATCATCAGAATGCCACAGTAATGCAAATAATCATTTGATTTATACTTGGATAGTAATTCTTTCAAAGGTTTTTTTTAAACCCAATTCCAAAACCAGCTTGTGTTGTCTAGACATTGAAAAATATGTTTTGTAACAGTTAAGAAATGAAAACGTCATTATTACGTAAAATGAAGTGACAATTTGTGCATTTTCATTCTAATTGCAGTATAATTCATATAACAATGTACGATCTGGTAAAGTTTGTACCGCCATATGTACATACTCAAAGGAGGATATTTAGTCAACTTTCCGGGGAAAATATCGACCATCCACTTCCCGCGATTTCCTATTCTTGGGCTAATTTGAGCGGTTTAGGTAGGGATCGGGCAATCCTCATTTTACCAGTAGCACCACTGGACAAATTACTATAAATGAGGATGTTTATATCTCAGAAACTTGTTTTTAGTATTATTGTGTTCTCCAAGTTAAATGGTCTAACAGTAAAGCTTTGATAGTAGTACTGGGCGTTATCATCAGCGTCTGTTTCATGCAGCAGTGAACCACTTAATTATTCTACAGGCCTTAAATCATCTACCATAAAACTGCTCAAATGAACCATTTCGATAAGAGAACTCAAAAACGAAAAAAAGTATGTCCAAATCACTAAAATGGAGTATTTGAAATGCTACAACTAGAGAGTAATTTCTTCATTTTCAAATTTACAGTTTGTACTCGAGTTTTAAAATGGTTTCAAATAATTTCTGTGCTGAGATTAATTTCTAACTTCATTTAGTGATTTTAACTTTCGATAACATAACGAAATAGGTTGACAATAATCATACTTACTATTAAGGTTTTTTATATAATATAAGTCAACTTAGATGTCTAACATTTCATTTTCATATAATTTCAGGATGCTATTGGATTTTCATTCAGTACACGAAATGAATGTAAAAGTTTCTGGAAACAATGCATTGAACATCATGCATTTTTTCGTTGTCAAGCTGTTAGAAATGTTGGACGAAAAAATCGTGTTGTTTCAAAAGGCTCTTCATTTAGGTACTTCTTATATTGTGTTTAATCATTAATGTGATATTTGTATATTATCTTTAATTTTATATCATTCATTGGTCTGTTATTTTAATGAAGACAAATACACACCTAGCTATAATAACGGATATTTTATATTTTAACGGATATATATATATATATATATATATATATACATAATTTCGTGTTTATGTGGTCCTTCATTGTTAATCAAATTTAGTCGATTAGTTTATAGCAGGGCCATCAGTTCAGATGATTTGACATCGCTTGTACTATATTTGGATGTTAAGTAATCTGAGGTAGCTGACAGAAGACCCTAAACTGAAGTTTCATGATAGTTTGCATTCGCTAATTGAATAGTAGCTTATCACTGATTTAATATCACAAGTTCACAATATACACATCCAGATAAATCAATGACAAAACATCCTGAGAGAAAAAATCAAATGAAAATAACATGTACATTTCTTTTTACATTCATACTCAGAAGTTGAGCACACTTCGAGATTTCAATCAACAGAGTTTTTAATATTTTTAATCCTGTATCAAGATATAAACTTTAAGAAAATGTTAGGATCTCTATTAAAATGATAATTTTTAATTCTGTTCCATATTCTAATGATTTATTCCACAAATTCTTTTATTGATGCAAACCAGTATTCAATGATAAACAAACTAAAAATTTCCTATTTAGTTAGTTTCCTCTGTAAAATCAGTACACTTTGACGTCACGCTTTCAGCTTGTTTAACTCAGAAAAAAAGAAAACGATTCTTTAGATAAATAAATCGATATTTGAATGATTTCAATCTTGACTGAATATCTATCAAACAGGTGAATATGTTCTTTTGCTTATTTTATGATTATTTCTCAATAAAAGTCTTATTCAAGATGAACACAACTCATTTTCACATAGAATGTTTCTTGTTTAAACTGAAACTTGATTAAGTTAGACATTAACACCGTTAGATACCGGCACAGTGGTCCAAAGATTAGGCGTTCGCCTACAATACGGAAGGTCCTGGGTTCGAGTTGTGGATGCTCACTGCCGAGGAGTCCCATACCAGGACAAAACGGCCGTCCAGTGCTTCCAGGTTTCTAATGGTGGTCT